AGATGCTTTCTTTTTTCCATTGTATACTTTTAGCTCCTTTATCGAAAATCAGGTGATCATAGGTTTGTGGGTTAAAATCCAGGTCTTCTATATGATTCCATTGGTCGACTTCTCTGTTTTTATGCCAGTACCATACTGTTTTCATTACTGTAGCTCTGTAATAGAGTTTGAAGTCAGGGATGGTAATGCCTCCAGAAGATCCTTTATTGTATAGGATTGTTTTGGCTATCCTGGGTTTTTTTGTTTTTCCATATAAAGTTGATTATTGTCCTCTCAAGATCTGTGAAGAATTTTGATGGGATCTTGATGGGGATTCCATTGAATCTATAAATTGCCTTTGGTAGAATTGCCATTTTTACTATGTTTATCCTCCCAATCCAAGAGCAAAGGAGGTCCTTCCATTTTATGGTATCCTCTTCAATTTCTTTCTTCAATGCCTTAAAGTTCTTGTCAAATAGATCTTTTACTTCCTTGGTTAGAGTTACCCCAAGATATCTTGTGCTCTTTGTGGCTACCGTGAAAGGTGAAGCTTCTCTGATTTCCCTCTCTGCTTCCATCATAAGTGGTTTTTAAACAAAAAGCAAAGAAAACTAACCCACAAATCACAATCCCAGAGAACCTAGGCAACAAGAGGTCTCTAAGAGAGACATATATGAATCTATTCTACATGGGAAGAAGGAAAAGACAAGATCTCCTGAGTAAATTGGGAGCATGGGGACCTTAGAAGAGGGTTGAATGGGAGGGGAGGGGCAGGGAGGAGAGCAGAGAAAATTGTGTGCTCAATAAAAATCAATTAAAAAAAGAGGCAAAAACGAATTGCAATGGCCATAGTGTCTCTTCACAGCAATAGAACCCCAACTAAGACAGGGAGTAATTCTCATTCACATCATTTTGGATGTGGGGGACTAAACTCAGGTCTTTAGGGTGAACCATATTCCAAATTCTCAAACTCTTCATTTGTTTGAGATGGAGTCTCATGTAGCTCAAGCTGTCCTCAAACTTGATATGTATCCAAGGATGACATTAAACCCCCAATCCTCCTGCTCTACCATGTAAGTTCCAGGGTTATAGGTAAGCACCACCATGCCTGGCTTCCAAACCACCACTTAAGATTCATTTGAAAGCTTTACTTTGATGTTTTCTCTTGCTCAAATGAATCAATCAATGCCCAAATTCATTAGTCCATGGATTATAACCAAGTGTGATCTGAATTTCTCCATCCCTATTTTGTAGTCTTCCCTACATGGCAGCTCTATTCCAACAAAATTGATCTAGCTGTGTTGCATAATAGCCGGTGTGGAAGATTTTGTCCTGATTTTATGCTTCTGTTTACCCTTACCTCATGTGGTTCACCAGTCCTTTTAATATGCGTTACTTTCCTGTATTAATTGACTTTATTTCATTCTAACTATGGTAAGGCCAACAGACTAAAGGAAGATTGCCACTGGAAAGCTAGTTTGTAGACCATAATTCCCTAAAGACAGCAGGGTGTGTGAGTCAGACAAGAGGCAGAGGTTGGGGAAAACTTATAGGCAATAGCCTTTGATGAGGTTACAGTAAGGAAAGAGCCAGTGAGGCTGAGTAAGCAGACCTGGGATTGGCTAGTTTGAATAACTTTAGTCTGTTCTATGGGATATGAAGGATGTACCATGGTATCTGGTACCTGGTTATATAATTATGTGTTCCTGGCATATGAGTAGCAGCATGAAGTATAAAAGCCCAATAAAGGAGTTCCTTCTGGGACCAACAAGACATTAGATATCAAACCATGAGAAAGCAGAAAATAAAGGACCTGGTCAATACCCTCCCTAAAAACCTAGGAGTGCTGGCTGGGCAGTGGTGATGTGCCTTTATTCCTAGCACTTTGGAGGTAGATGTAGGCAGATCTCTGTGAGTCCAAAGCCAGCCTGATAAAAGCTAGTTCCAGAACAGGTTCCAAAGCTACAAAGAAACCTTGTCTCATTAAGAAAGAAAGAAAGAAAGAAAGAAAGAAAGAAAGAAAGAAAGAGAAAAGAAAAGAAAAAGAAAAAGAAAAAGAAAACTTAGGAGTGCTTTTGTCCTGGTCTATGGTGGGAATATTTGTCTTGTACTTGCAACAAATTTGGCAATTCTTTTTTAAAAGATTTATTTCTTTCATTTTATGAGTTTGAGTATTTTGTCTACATTCATGTATGTGTACCATATGCATTCCTCATACCCCAAACATTGGATCTCCTGAAACTGTAGCTCTGTGAGTGCTAGGAATCAACCAGGACTTCTACCAAGAGCAACAGGTGCTCTGAACCACAGAGACAATACTTCAGATCACTCAGTCGTCTCAGATTGTGCTTCCACTCACACTTTCTATGGTAACAGCATGGAGGGGTACAATGGGTTCAAAGAAGATTTCTGGGAGGAGCTGGCAAAAACACAAGACTGCCCTCAGAAAGCCTCCACTCCAACCCCATCCTTAAGCTAGAGATGCTCACTAGAGATGAAATCTAAGGTTTTACTCATCAACCAAAATGTTCTGTGGTGACAAAACTAGTGAGTTTCAATTGGAAAATCACATGGTTCTGAGTCCAGCATTAATGTCCCCTTGGGACTCTAACTACTTTGATAAATTCTTTTTGCTCTAGGAGAAAATCAAAGACACATGATCTGTCTGGAGCATGACTTTGCCAAACATTCACTGTCTTCTGCTTAAACATGATGTATGTAAGCACATTCATAGGTACTCATACTCATCTATAGGTACACACATGCTCACACACACACACATGTGCTTACATCCATAGGTACACATACACCTAGATGCACGCACACATAGATGTGCTCACATTCTAAGGTATACACACAGATACATGTGTGTGTGTATGTGCATGCAGACATCAATAGGTACACAGACATAGATGTCCACATACGTGTGTGCACTCACATTTTTAGATGCACACATGACATGAATGTGTGCTCACATCTATAGGCTTACACACAGTTCATGCACATAGATGCTGTGGGAGCACATTCTGCTTTTTCAGCCAATAGCCTTTAAGATACCAGCCCAGTTGGGCATGGTCTCTTATAGTTTAAAAAGCAGCAGGAACTATGTGCCCATTTTCTTCCGGATCCCGTTCTGGCTGCTAGACTCTGTTCCTGTTTGCACTCAGAGGCCTATTGTTTAGGACAGTGATATGTAAGGTTTCCCCTTAAATAAATAACCCTTTTATTATCCTAATTCTGAACTGGTGTGGGATTGTTTTATGACATCACATAGACCCATGCACACTCTCTATATCAACTTCACAAAGGCTCTGGGAATATCACAGGAGGGGTGGAAAGAATGTATAAGCTGGAGGAAGTGGGGAGGCAGTGTTGAATGCTCATTTCTAGGCATGACATGGCTGTTGCACTCTTAAATTTAAAGCAGCAGTGATTGTCCTAACAATATTTGTACAACGTCAACATCCTGTCTCAGAGTGTAGGAGTGCATGGGACCCCTACCTTTCCGTGGATATATACATAGAGCTAATGGATACTGGGAGAAAGAAGACATTTTCTTGAGTGATATAACCACTGGTAAGCTGTCCATTTTCCTGTAAACAACCTTAATCAAACTCACTGGATCACTAGGTCCAAAGTAAACAAAACAAGGAAGTAGAAGGAATGGTTGAAAATGGAGATGGGAATCAGTGAGACAGAGAGGGGGACAAGACAGGATTGGGAATGTGAATATGATTGAAATACATTATGTATATGTTTGAAAATGTCATACCCATTATTACATATAATTAATATATGCTAATATTAATACTAATAAAAATACTTTTTTCCAAAAGAATCACCTCATAGTTGAAAAACCAAAAGACAACTAATACAAGACTTTTGGTTGTTTCTGAGCATAAGAAGTTTTATTTACCCAGTGTGTGCTTGGTGGCTGGCCCAGTATATCTCAAAGAAATGGTCATATTCTTTTAGAAATTTTGTACTTAAAGTACTGCATCAGGGGCTGAAAAGAGAGGTTAGTGATTAAGAGAACTGGCTGTTCTTCCAGAGGACCCATGTTTAATTCCTAGTACCTACATAGTAGCTCATCCTCTGTAACTCTAGTCTCAAAGGATCTGATTGCCTTTTTTGGCCTCCATGGGTACCAGGCACACACATGGCACATACACATAAATACAGACAAAATATCCATACATATAAAAATTAAATAAAATACTTCAAATTGTCTTCTTTTGTTTGTTTTTTATTTTTGATTGGTTGGTTGGTTGTTTATTTTGAGGGAGAGAAAGTGTGTGTCTCTATACATAACTCTGGATAACCATGTACTCTCTGATAGGATTTATAGTCTATCTTATAGAAGAAAATGCTGATAATATTGCTGCAAACCAAGTCAAATACCAATGGTTGTGGAGCTCACAGACCCCCACAGGTGAACATATGACTGTCATTCTGTTCATTTAATATAGTGTCAAACTGCCTTCTAAACTCATGTCTTAGAACTCACTCTTTAGCCCAAGTTGGCCTTGAACTCATAGAGACCTGCCTGCCTCTGCCTTCTGAAGCTGGAATTGCAAGCAATTGCTACCACACCTGACTGAAACATATTTTTCACCAAAGAATAATAATATACTCCATAGACATTATCTCATTCTTTCTTTAAAAATATGAGAAGGCGGGGGCTGGAGAGATGGCTCAGTGGTTAAGAGCATTGCCTACTCTTCCAAAGGTCATGAGTTCAATTCCCAGCAACCACATGGTGGCTCACAACCATCTGTAATGAGATTTAGTGCCCTCTTCTGGCCTGAGGACACACACAGACAGAATATTGTATACATAATAAATAAATAAATAAATAAATAAATAAATAAATAAATAAAAATATGAGAAGGCTAAAGAATAATAAACTGATGTTTTTTAAAGATTTTGGTTTTTTATGTACATGTATGTGTGTGTCTTCTTGTCTGTATACATATCACACATGTGCAGGTGCACAAGGAAGACAGTAGAGAGTATCAAACCTTCCGGAACTAGAGTTATAGGCAACTGCAAGGCACTGAGTCTTGATGCGAGGAACTAAAGCAGGGTCCACTACCATCTCTCCAACCCTTCAAACTCTGCACTGCAAGGAAAGAAAGAGAAGAAGAGGAAATCAGCTTATGAAAGACAACACAGAAGCAGTAACAGTGGATGACCTGGCACCAGAACTTCTCAACATGGCCCAATTGCTGAAGACACCACACACTTTGGTCACATGGCATGGAGAAACCCAGCTGCCACTGGCTAGGGGGTTTCTTCCCTGCTAGCTAGCTCTCATGCTACTAGAAGGTGCTGTGCAGGCTCCTAGGGGAAAGTGTCATCAACAGTCCTACCCACTTGTGAACCTGTGCAATGCACGATGGCCAGAGTGGCAAGATGTTGAAGGAGCATCTGGCTGCGTTCCTGCCACCCAACTCCCGGCCGCCTGGCTAGCTTATGCCCTGAAATAACAACACACAAACTGTATTCATATAAACACTGCTTGGCCCATTAGCTCCAGCCTCCTACTGGCCAACTTTCACATCCTTATCAACCCACCCCCATTAATGTGTGTAGCACCACGAGGTGGTGACCCACCAGGAAGATTCTAGCATACATCCATCTTGGGCTGGAGCTTCGTCGTGTCTGCCCTGGAGAGGAGAGGCATGAAGTCTGCCTAACTTCCTCTCTTCCCAGCATTCTGTTCTGTTTACTCCCCCCACCTATGTTCTAACCTATCAGGCCAAGCAGTTTCTTTATTAATTAACCAATGAAATCAACCGCAAAATACACCCAACAATGTAACAGAGGCTTGACTGTTATGTGGGTAACCATGCACTCTGTTGGGATTTATAGTATATTGTACAGGAAAAAGTGCTGCTATATTGCTGCAAACCAAGTCAAATACCAATGGTTGTGGAGCTCACAGACCCTCATGGGTGAACATATGACTGTCATTCTGTTCATTTAATATTGTGTCAAATTGCCTTTTAAACTCATGTCTTTCTATCCATAGATTATTGCAGTTCTTAGACGTTACTGAAGAAGTTTCTTTGTGGAGGATGGTTAATTCAGAGACTTAACAACTGGTCAAATAAATGTCAATGAGGTGCTCAGTCACAAAAGATACAACTATATAATACCTCCTCCCCAAAGCTTGAGGGCTGGAAAAAAATTATAAGAGTCAGAGACTTGGATTGGCTAGAGCAAATCATTGTCTTCCAGATGTAAAAAGACCACTTGACTCACAAGTTCATAGCAGCTGAGGTTTCCTGAAGAAGATCTGCACAAGGCCAGTCAATCAGCAATCTAGCATGCAGTGAGAAGGGGTTCCTAAGCCCCACCTTTAACTGAGGAGCTATAGATGATTGATGAAATCTGAGGGAAAAGAGGTCATTTTCTTTAAGGGTGTGATCCTTCTGGTAGGTTGACTGTACTCCAGTGGATGGCTTCAAAGCCGGGAGTACATGAGCAACACAAGCTAGGGACAATGGACTGATAAAATAAGAAGAGAGGGCAGGAAGTTGGAGGTAGGGAGTTGGGTGGATATGGGAAGAGTTGGAGTTATGGCTATGTATACTCAAAATTCAGTTCATGAAATTCTCAACTAATTAATATTTTTTTAAGTTGATAGGTTAGACTCTGGACGTTCTGCAATGGAAATCCTCTTCCTATTCTTCTTACAAAAAATCCTCAGGATAATAAATTCAAAGATAAATTTATGATAGATAGATAGATACATAGATAGATAGATGGCGTGAGTATGAGTACAAGCCATGAGCCTAGAAAAGGAACATGAGATAGGAAAAGGAGTTTCTGAGGAAGCGAAAGAAGAATACAAATTGCAGATGTCATGAAGGCAGAAAGGAACAACAGTACAAGGTGTCTGGGGCAGAGGGTGGAGGAGCATGCTGGGAGCCTGGATGAGCAAAAGCAAGTTGGGGTGAAAGGGCCATAACGAAACCTAATACTTTGCATTCTAATTTGAAAAGTTGTTTTTTTTTTTAAGAAAAGTAAATCAGATACAAAAACAAAACAAACAAAAAACAGTCATTACTTTGTTGCTACTTTTAGTTGGTGCCTGGAAAATAGATGAGGGGTGGTTCAGCTCAAAGGAGCAGGTGACCAGCAGCACCTAAAAGGCTTGTGCTGGTTTTGACACCTCCGAATACTTCCTGGCATATGTAACCTTTATCTACCAGCAATGAGCTAGAAAACGGCCAGCCAAAAAGGGCACAACAATTTATAATTGAAAGGAAAATAAAATATGTGCTGGAAATAATCATCCTCTCATTTACAGTTTTTTTTTATTACATCTCACATTTACATCAGGGCTGAAAGAAAAGCCATTTGCAAAGAAGAGGAAGTGAATATATGTATGTGTATATACACACATATGTATATATGGTTCATTCTAAGTCAAGTAGAGACAAAAAAATAAGCAAAAAGTGAACTAATTTTATATGTGGTGAGGCCTCCATTTGAGTCCAAGGTGTGTTCACTTGGGGATCCATTCATCTCTCAGAAGCAAAGAACCAGAGACCCAACCACTCAAGAGTCTCTCTGTACAAAAACTCTCCCTGGAGCAGGAAGCCCCTCCAAGGATGACAGAGACAAAAATCCCTCCATTAGGTTAGAATAACAAGACAGGATGTGAGGAAATGTCATATCCCTCACGGGTGGGGTCAGACACTAATGCTACGACCAGCATCATTGGAGGCAGAACCACCGTCCTCTGTGGTCATGTTATGTCATTATGGGACGACCCTGATTTTTCTGTAGTTTTTATAGTCATAAAAACTGGAAGATTTCACACAGTTGTGCTGCAAAGAAAACTGACTGGCTCGCTGTCCATATTTCACAGTCAGAGTTCCAATAAATACATTTTGTTTTCCTTCTATGACAATGGCGTACAGACTTCTGTGTTGGAGAAATGAACTCTCATTTTTTGTTTTGTTTTGTGGTGGTTTTTGAGACAAGGTCTCCTGTAGACTAGGCTGACTGGGAATTCACTATAAAGTAGCTGAGCATAGTCTTGAGCATCTGATCTTTTGGCCTCCACTTTTCTAACATTGGGCTTGCAAGCAAGCACCATCATGCTTGGTTTATGCAGTACTCAGAATAGAACAAAGGGCTATGTGTGTGCTGGGCAAACACTCTACAAACTATGTTACATCCCTAGCCCTCACAGACTCTGTGTAAAGGGATTATAAATATGTTAGCATTGTATGTCATATGGCTCTCTGGGGCATATTTTGTAGCTGTTTTTAAAAACAACTTTATTGTATATTTATTGTCTATTTTGTATTATTTTTAGTTTTTTTTTTGTGTGTGTGTGTGCGTGCTCATTATTGCATAGGAGTGCAGGTGCCTGCAGAGTCCCGCAGAGGATGTTCAATTCCTTGGGACTAATGCTACAAATGGTTATGAACCATCTGACACAGGTACTGGGAACTGAACTCCCTTCCTCCATAAAAGCAGTATGCACTGGGGACCATGGGAGAGGGTTGAAGGGGAGGGGAGAGATAGGGAGGGGAGCAGAGAAAAATGTATAGTTCAATAAAATCAATTTTTAAAAAAAAAAGCAGTGTGCACTCTTAACTGCTGAGTCGTACATCCATATTTTAAACTTTTCTTAATATAATATAAAGAAATCACAGTTACCTATAAAATGCCAATTTGGGGAGAATGCTTTGTCTGAATGGAGAGACTAGGTCTATGTCCTCTCCCCATTTTCTTTTGACATGGTGATGATCTTGTTTTCATAAATTTTAAGTATTCAGAGCTGTGACATGGTGCTGTGATTACAGAGTGTGATGTGGGAGTGTCATATATCAATCTGTTGATTTCATTGGTTAAGCAATAAAGAAACTGCTTGGGCCTGATAGGTTAAAACATAGGTGGGAGGAGTAAACAGAACAGAATGCTGGGAGGAAGAGGAAGTGAGCACAGAGACGCCATGCTCTCCTCTCGTGGGCGGACATGAGGGCTCTGCTCTCTGAGGCACACACGATGAAGCTCCGACCCAGGATGGACGTAGGCTAGAATCTCCCTGGTAAGCCACCTCGTGGGCTACACAGATGAATAGAAATGGGCTAAATTAATATGTGAGAATTAGCCTAGAAGAGGCTAGATAGAAATGGGCCAAGCAGAATGAATACAGTTTGTGTGTTGTTATTTTGGGCATAAGCTAGAAGGCGGCCGGGGTGCTGGGGACGCAGCCCTGCCGCTCCTATTACAACAAGAGTGGATGGAAAGTCTGCTTCACTTCAGGGGTCCCAGTATTCTGAATTCTGTGATCCAGAATGAGATGCCGGAGTTGGAGAAATGAAGGGTATTTTCCCTACATTAGGTAACTATGTGTGCATGGATCTGACACACTGGTCCTGAACAATGCACCTGCAGAAAAGATAGGGAGGAACACAGGACCCTACATGGAATTTGTGATCAGTGCTGCCTGAGCGTATAAGTACTCCAGGAGACTGAAGTTCTGTAAGTATGCTGTGACCTAGCCTGTGGACAGCATACTAGAAACTGAAATAAAAAAAAATGCATGATGGATGCCAAGTGGGAATGGACAAGAATGTGCTCACAGTCACCTGTGAGAAGGACAAAGTTTGGGAAGGGTTTGGAGGAAGGGAGGGGAAAGCTGAAATTCTACCCAACATTCCCTGATTCTTGTCTTCATAGAAGACAAAATCCAGAGACAAGACACAGTAAAAAAAAATGCAAAGAAGTTTATTATAATATGCACACTCAAACAATAGGTTGAAGAGATGGTGGGCGGGTGGGGAGGGAGCGGAGAGAGAGCCTGTAATTTTAGACAGCTCATTTTGTGAACAAACTTTAATAGAGGGAAGAATTACTTCTGTGTTGGGAAGAGGCAGGGAATTCCAGGGTTGGGTGGGCAGCTTTTGTGGAATAGGCCCTGTGCTCCTTTCTATCCCTGTATGTGGTCTTCTGCTTGTGATATAACATCAGATGCATGATGGGAGCAGGAGGTTTATAAGGCTGATGATATGCAGATGCGTTACAATGAAGAGAAGAGAGTCAGTTTGTCCTGGTTGGCTGTGTTGGTCTCAGCAGTATTAGGATGAGCTTCAG